ATTTAATTGATGATATCCGGTTTATACAGTTTCACTATGTGCAAGTGGGACATACTGAAAGATTACAGCAATAATAGATTGAATTTTGATGAAATATATACGTACAACATATATAAATGTCAGGTCCTCTGAAGTTGGTTGTGTATAAAAAACTTTAAAATGCTTGCTTCTTTCTGAACCTTCTAGATGTCAGAACACTGTTTATTGTTTGTAATAATGAATACACGTATAATATATACAATACGCGCGCGCGCGCGCGCGCGCGCGCGTGTGTGTGTGTGTGTGTGTGTGTGTGTGTGTGTGTGTGTGTGTGTGTGCGTACGTGCGTGCGTGCGTGCGTGCGTGCGTGCGTGCGTGCGTGCGTGCGCGCGCTCGTGTGTGTAATATATGTAATCTATATATTTTTTTACAAACATCTAGTAAACAGTATGTATTTTAAATGTGCCCTGATACACAGCCAACTTGAGATGACCAGGTATTTCTAACTTTAATACCATGTGTATAAAAACGTGAATTTAATGAAGTAAATGATAATGAAATAATAAATCCAGAAAATAGAATTATTATAAATTTACACAAATATGTAATATTATTCAATTTAAAAAATAAGAAAAACAGATAATACACCGTGTATTATTTAATTTTACTTTAATGAATATAATGCTTGTGAATTTAACATTAAAATTTACATAAATTATACTTTATTTAAAATAGAAAATATGACGTTTGCAAATGTAACATCAATGTTCATGTACTTACCTTTATCAGTGTTTTCTTCCGACACTTCCTGTTTTCTTTTATGGCATTCTACTCGTGAACTATTTCTTTCATCACAATTTAGTTCTTGTAACGGTATCCTTTCTACATTAATTTTTGCATTGTTTTCTGTATTTTGTAATGTGTTTGTTTCAGAATACATACGGTCAGAGTCTTCATCAGATGTCGAATGACTGTTACACTCTATTAAAATATAAATGGTATATTAATATTTAATAAAAAATTTTTTGCATGTAAAAAGGAAGATTCAAAATTTTCATTTTATATTTATACTTCACAATAACATATTTCTTAAATATATTATCTATAATATATTGTCATAAGTAAGCTTAAGTTTTTGTATACATGCATATATTTAATTACTTCAATTACTTAAATGAAATGTAATATTTATACAAATTATAAATATTTGAAAGATAATCTATAATGTAAATTATACAATTGTTATAAAGAAATGTTTTAGCTTAATTTGCTTTAATTTATGATTAAGTCTCAATGAGTATAACATTTGGAAAGGGCTAGTTTTAAAAAAATGAATATTAATAAAAATATTATTAAGTTTTCATGAGCTTAACATGTATTATTAAAATTTTATCCCTGAGCAATATTAAAAAGATTTCATACGTTGCTAATTATTAACTAAAATGTTTTTATTGACTGACATGATTGATAAATAATATACCTTTAGAAAGAAACTTCTTTACAATATTTTCACATCCGTCGCTAAAGAAACGTAAGAAATTGTTGAGAGGTAGTCTACAAAAATGAAAAACAGTTGTGTTATATGTTACAATATAGAAATACAAAAAACAATTAAATAAAATTTGTATTACAAATACTAAAAATACAAAAATTAATATAAATATCTTCATAGAAAAAGTATATTATGACAAATTTTGACATTTTCAATAAAAATTTTTCTAAAAAGGTTAAGAATATTAATAATATTAATAAAGATGTAAAGAATTTTTATATTAATTTTAAATTAACGTTTAACGCCAATTTTTTTATTTTATAAATTAAGAATATATAGGACACAATGATAACAGAAAGAATAGATATGCTAACAAGTATTACATTAATCAAGAAATATATTATTAAGAATATTAAGTATATTAAGAATAAGAAAAACAAAATGGCTGTGCAATTTTACATTTAAATAAAATTATAATAAAAAATTTTGTAACAAATTATTTATGTAAAATAATTAAATAAAATGTTAAACAATAAGATTTGTTATAAAGAATGTAAATAAATACAAAAATAAGGTATGTATGTACAAATACATATGATTATAACAAAGTATAGAATAAATTGTCTTTTTGACAAAATAAAATATACAGAATATATATATGTGTGCTGCAAAATATTTTTGAATTTCTAGTATTTTGTTATCACGGTTTTTGTTTTTTATACTTGTACGATGCCCATTTGTTTCGGTTGTTTTCAGACGTTTTAGCTTTAGTTCTTCGTCAATAATCAATTTTCGTAGATTATCTACAAGTATAATATTTTGTACCAGTTTGTTCATTTTGTACATGTATTGGAAAGTGTTAATAGCAACGTTACCTAAGAAATTCCAGACATTTTCATGAGCTTTGCTAAATTTTCTTCCTACTACGTTATGGAAACTTTCTGTTATATTATTTGTTCTTACTGGACAATCATAAACACTAACTTTTGATGCTAGTGGCAACCAAGTTTTGCGTACATACGCTAAAAAATCATTAATGGTAGGATATTCATGAGAAATTTGATCAGCTTCGAATTGTATAAAGGAAAGTGCTTCCTCAAAACAATCAGAAGGAGCTAATGCCATAGTCATAGTCATTGATAAAACGATTCTTGGTGCATCTGTCAATCCTAATCGCCGCCAGCGACGCAAAAGTGCCTGTAAGTAAATATTTATAAAAATAACAAAATAT